GTGAAACAAAACACATGAAAAAAAAAAAAAAAAAAAAAAAATTAAAAAAAAAAAGTTCCACATTCTTCTGATCCAGTAAAACATTAACAAAGATTTTACTTTTACGGGTGTGGTAACAACTCTCCTTGTCCTTAGCAATCGTTCCTTCTGTAACAGCAGGTTTGTCCAAAATCTCAAAACACACACGGAAAGAAGCATAGTTCTTTGTCAAACTACTTGTATCCAACAAGCAGCTGAAGATCTAGAACAGTAAGTCCATATCAAGAAAACTTAAATTTAAATCACTGCACATATACATGTTTGTGGAATGCAACTTTTACTAACAGAACATTGTAAATCTCTGATAATTCCAGCCATGCTTCCAAGAATATTCGAAACATGTTGCAAATTATTTCTCTGAAATCTTCTGAAAATTTTCTACATCTTATATCAAACTATGTATCCTGAGACCCTGTTCTGAGCCAAGGGAACTGAATGCTGGAGTGCTATGCAGGTTCTGAAGGGATTTTGCTGTCACCTAGCTTTTGGTCACTTCTGTCCTAAAGACATACCCACACATGTACAGAAATACTCTTTAACAGTATCTGTTTTGTTGGGTTTTTTTTTCCTAGTTTCTAATCTGCTAGAACAAATTAGAAGGAAAGCAACGCACTGTTTAACAAAGGGCCAAGACCACGCACCCCTACATAAAGTCCAAGCGGGCAACCTTTGCAGCGAAGATTTACAGTAACAGTTCAGGGACAATACGTATTTACAGCCTTCTTTTGCTCACATATGCAAGCAGAAGAGGATGGCAAGCAAAAATGCAGATACAAAGTTATCAATCATTTTTTTTTTTTTTATTCCTTGTGTCCAAGTTAATGATTATAGATGTTACATAACTAATGATCCTACAAAATCACTACCACGAGGAAAACTGACATCCACAATATTGTCTGAGCCCCAGCTGACTGCTGTGGTCACTTCAGCTTCTTTCCTTTTCAATACGCCTTACAACTTGCACTTCAAACATTAAAAAAAATACATTTCCACAGTGGCAGAACTCCAGTTTTGTGTTACCTCCAGAAGCACAAAACATTGAAGGCAGCACTGGCTGTTACTTCTGCTCAACAAAGATATCAGAAAGGGAACACATGGGCATACAAATGGCAGTGGGATAACCTTTTCTAGCTGAGAAAGTGAAAAGAAGCACATCCACAGTGTGGACAAATGAAAGCAAAAATAAGAATGAAACACTGATTTTTTCCCTAAATCCCAAAAGCTTGTGGGACAGCCATTTCCAATAACCATTCATAACAATGAAGTGTGTTTAAACTAGTTCTACTTTAAAAGCAATTTTCATAGCACAGAACCAATGCACAAAAATAATCGTATGCTAGACTGAATTAACCTCAAACTGTTGGGCATGCTGTTTTATTTCAGACTGCTCCAAGTCATTAAATTTCCTTACAGGAGAGAAAATAATAGTCTCAAACAAAACTGTGTCAAAATAAAGGAAAATATAAGGTTGCTTGTGATTATGAATGATGGGGGGGAAAAAAAGGATCTTCACTGAAATAATGCAAAATAAGAACACAAAACAGGAAGACAGAAGGCCTGAGCAAATGAAGCAGCATGTGTCTTCAGTAAAATTTTAACATCTTTGTTTTCTATTTGTTTATTGTAAAGGAGCATGGGGGTGGGGGTTGGGGTGGGGGTAGTTAGAGCCTTGTGAGCAGTAGAACAGTCTTAAATTCAATCCATACATTTATATATTCATTGCAAGAAATATTTTTCCCCTTCTTTCCTGAAGCAACACACAAAATCTGTCTAGTTATTTAGATGAAAAAGGGATATATATAATAAGCCAACTAAACACAGAAGTTTCACAGTTGCATTTAAAGGTCAAATTGCGCTACAGAATTGTTTATACCATCAATGTACAGAGGTAAGAGAGCCCTTTGGTTCACATTACAAAGAAGAAGAGGGTATCTGACACAAGGAAAAGTAAACAAGAAGAAAAAGTGAGTCTGTATGGACAAAAAGCTTAAATTTAAAAAATAAAATAAAAATTAGAGCTTCAGCTTTTCTTTCCCA